TCTCAACCATTTTAAGAAAGTTTCCTTTATTCAGTGAAGATTCATCTTCGTTGTGGCCACAAAAATGCAAGATTTTGTTTTGCAAGAAACAATGTAAAATCCAGCAACTTGCGCAGGATATCCCTCCAGTTTTTCTTCTCCCTGTCCATCACAGCAATACTTTAGGCATCAATTGTTTTGTGTATTTAAGTCCTGCTGCCAATGCCTTCCACTTTTCTAGGCAACAGGTGCTCCTCCGATCCCTCATGATTTTTTAATTGACGGCTATGTTTCCACCAAAGCCAGGAAAAAATGTGCATGTTGTTTCTGTAACATTAACAGCAAATAATCTGCAGCAAAAAACAGTACAATTTCTGACTGACGAGTGAATAAATCATCCACGACCGCAGCATTTTCTCACCATTTTGCATCATCCAGTAGATCCATTGTTAGTTGGCGAACACCTCCTTTATATTTCGCATTTTGCCTTGTCTCTACGCCGAATAGTCCGTCCTCGTTCTGAAACGAGGTACTCCATATTTTAATAATTTCAGACCGAAAATAATTTGGAACTGGTACATTCCAGATAGAAGCATCTGATAAAATGTGCACTTTTTTTTTTCAATAGCAATTACATTAATTGTATCTTGGTTTGAATCAACATTATCAGCAGATATTTCTGTTTCCAAACCATCCATGTCTTTTACTTGTATTTCCACGTCAATCTTTTCCAGTTTCTCCACCATTTGCTGCAAAGAATGCCTGCTGCTGGTATCGGGAGAATCAGTATCAATGGTAGGCTGAGGAACGTTTTTTGATGAACCCTGGTCATCATCTGTTTTTTGACATAACGAAGCATGTATTCTGGTAGTGATTTTATTGAATCAGTATTTTCTTTTTTGCTTTTCGCTGCTGGCAGCCACTCGGCCGTTTAGATTTGTGCACGCCGCGTGGCGTGATATAATAATCTTGAACCATAAAAATGTTTTAATTTTGTCGTGTTCAAGACAAAAAACAAAATAATTACTTAGGGGTCATCCATAAAAGACGTCCACACAAAAGGGGTGGGGGTGGGGTTCAGCAAAAAGTGGACTAAAGTGGACACGCTGTTTTGTTGCGTTTATTTTTTCAGGTTGAACCACACTCTGTTTTACTCATTTGATTTTTTAAAGTGGACAAAGGGGGGGGGTAGGGGGGTTTAGGACAAAGTGGATGTCCACATTGTAGTGTGTTTTGAGTGCAGCAGTTTTGCATAAATTTACTGCAAAAAACTTCTAATGACAAAAGATTTGGGATGCAACCCAAACAATCTTTCACAAACTGAGTGGTTAAATTTAGAAACAATTTTGTTCAATATTAATAATTAACACGCTTGAATATTATTGTAAAAATATGTTGCTAAAGTTTGATTTTTCAAATACAATAAAATCTCAAATAACAGTTTTGCATGCCTTTTGATCTCTATTGTCCATCGGTGGCTGGGAGAATTTCCAAGAGAATATGTTTCTGCGGTAAATATTTCCCATCACAGGCGGCAATGAAAAAACATAAGGTCGTTATTAAATCTACAAGTACCGGTTAGGCCAAAAAGTTAAAGACTCGCAAAGACCATAGTTTGGCTACTGTAAATCGCTGCGGTGTACGCAGGCCACAGACCATGATTTAGCTAGGTACACCGCCGCGGTGTACGCAGGCCAAAGTCAATAGTTTCGCTAGGTACACCGCCGCGGTGTACGTAGTGCCGGCCTTATTTTTTTATTTAAAAATCTATTAATAAATTTAAAGAATATATAAGAGATCTAACTAAATACTGACTAAGATATGTGTATCTAAATGAGTAATTACTTTGATAACAATGTTACCATTTAAACACAGCTAAAAATGACATCGATTTCATAGAACTATGACTACGCCTTTTATTCTTATGTGTGTCGTCACCAGGGCTGCCACTCACATTTTTAAAATTTCCCAAGATTTGGTGAACGAATTTCCCAAGATTTCCCAAGATCATAAAAATATATAAGAGTTTTTTAAAAAAGGGTTTTTCTATGTAATTAATGTAATAATAGATTGAATTAATGCCCATGAAAAACATGGTACATTAATTGTTTGAAATTTATTGAAAAAGACATTTTAAAAAATTTTTATCACATAAAAGAAACATACAATTTGTTTTTTTTAAAATAATTTATAATCCAAAATATCAATACCCACTGAAGTTAGGCTACTAAATATTACCTCCGAATTCTCTGGTAAAAATATCATCTACAATACATGTGTAATAGAAGTCACTTGGAAACAAAGCTTACAAGGCTAATCAACACAGAATTCCTTTTACAAAGGCAAAAGGTTCTTCATCAAAACATGATTTTTCTTATTGTAAGTCTGATGATTAGAAGTGGGGTTTGCAAAGCAATGAAGCAAAATTTATTAATAATAATTGTAGTTAAAATGGATTGATATTATTATGAAAACAATAAGTATTTTTATTTTTTTCTTGTAAATTTATATTATAACGATTTTTTCAACAAAATAACATACTTTTAAATGTATTGTTCATTTATAATCCTACAACGTAGGCCTATACTTTTAATGTCTTAGTTACCTGTGTTTCAATCCACAAATATTTTTTCCAATTGATGAAAATTAGGCTGGATTTTTTACAGATGCATTATATTTTGAATACATTGTATGAGTAATTGAAATAATCAAATTTTACTATGGCATGGATCCTTGATTGAACACTACTATCGTTCACTCTTCGGCTTTTACTGTTTTTCGTATGGTTGCTAATGTCTAATAAATAGCCTAATGATAAAGTTTCCGAGCCTACCCCACCCCCCCTTTAATAAACAGTCAAAACCTGGATGTAATTTGTAAATCTTCAATTTAAAAAAAAAAATAGAAGAGAAAATTGAATTTTTCTTTAATTATTAACTTTGTAACAATTCGCAATAATGATAACTTTAATATCAGCAGAGTTTTTATTTATTTGATGAGTGGATTTAAAATTTAAAACCAGAAAAGAAAATTAAAACAATTAATTTTTTGATTTGTTACTTTTAAAATTATTTTGCTTTATTTTCACTTAATTTTTATCACATATTGTTGCGTTTTTTCGAAAAATATAATAAAATTTTCCCACCAGTTAAGATCTCCCAAGGTTTTGCCTGTTTTTTCAAAATTATTCCCCAGATCCCAAGGGGGGTCGTGAATTCCCAAGATCTTGGGAAATTTCCCAAGGTGTGGTAGCCCTGGTCGTCACCGTTTCACCGGTGTTGTTTTGATTTGAGTCCCGTGTCCAGTAGACTGAACACCTTTTTCAATAATGAAATAAACTACAATATAATGATATATGAATAAAAATCCTATTATATTTGTATTCTTTGACATATAATTGTCTTAAAACAACATTAAAATCTTTAGATTGATTTAAATGTAATAAATAATAGCAAAAAACTTACCAGCACCCCCTGAACACGAAACTACTGCCCCTCTGTCGGCCATCTTAAAATTAAGTATTGTCTATCTCGGCGTAAAAGTACGTGAAACTAGTGTAAAAATGTGTCCAGCAGGCTGCACAAGAGGATCCAAACGAAAATTAGCTACCAAGTTAGAATAAGACATAGAAAACTATTGTCCAGTGGGCTGCACGCCTGGACTCAGGAGGATACAGTGATTCAATAAAATGTTTTTGAACAGTTATTATTACATTTAGAATTTTGCCTGCAAATAATTGGAATTTCTAAACAAAAATCTTTGTAAATACATACTCTTTATATTGTTGTACATTTTCCCAAAATATTCATTAATTTAAATTAATGAATATTTTGGAAAAATGTACAACAATATAAAGAGTATGTATTTACAAATATTTTTACTTAAGTTTTTAACTTAAGTTCGGTAAATTTTATGTTTTGGACTCCACAACTGAGGGGGTGGGGGGGGGGTTAAATAGCAAAAACATTGGTGGACGTCTTTTATGGATTGGCCCCTTACAATTCAAAAACACCGTCAGAGCACTGCCCACAATGCAACGTAGCAAGGTAGCAGGTAAAACCCAGCAGTCGAAATATGACAATCTTGCTCAAATGTTTAGGGGCGATACTATACGAATCCGGGAAAATATTAATTTTTGATGATTTCTGGGTTTCGATACATAAAATTATATATTAATTATGTCTTCAGAAAACTTTTCTTTATTTAAATTTAAACAAAAAGAATTGATCAATAAAAGATTGAAAATTATGTAAAATAATAGGCCTATATTTTTTAACCCTATAAATGGGTAAAAATTCATTTTTAAGGTTTTGAATTTTTATATTATAAACGCCCGACCACACTTATGGAAAGCCCTATTTCTCAGAATTTAGATCAATGTAACTCCTGTCACTTACGGAATTTACCGAACACTTTAACCGGCGTGGAATAATGACTGTGTTTTTCTGACCTAAACATAGGGTCATCTCATTTCTGACGAACCAACCTTGAACCAACCTTAAAGCACGCATTTGGATTGGTTACAATTGTGAAAAAAGTATGCATGATCGGTTATCCTTTTATGAATCTCGGTTAGACCGAGCACTGTGTACTCTGTAAATATGCAATTTTTTAATGGGGTGTCACCCCTAAAATGGTGTCACCCGGAGCGGTCCGCACCCTCGCACCCCCCTCGCTACGCCACTGGTTTTACCTTTATAATCAACGTCCAAATCTATACACAATTAATAAAAATCATAATTACACTAGTCGGTTAGATGTGACTAAAACTGTCGCCGAGTGTTACAATATAAATAGGAGAATGGGGAAAACACGCGGGCCGCACTAACACTAAATTTTACTGTCATATAGCGGGCCGCAGAATATCGTCTTGCGGGCCGCAAATGGCTCGCGGCCCGCGTGTTTGAGACCCATGATGTAGAGGCTTAGTACATAACTCCTTTGTAAGTAACGTATACAGAGGCTTTGCGGTTTTTAGAACAGTTGTTTGTAATGGAACCACTAATTTTGTCTTAACTTCCGCTTGCTTTGTAAAACGTTATTTTTATTGCTGTGTTGTGTAGTGTGTTGCATGCATGAAACGTTTATTTATTTCGGCTCTTCACTAAGCCACACATTAATAGAGATTTTTAAGACATATCAACATGGCAAATTTTCCAATGCGACTGCCTTTTGAAAATAAGCACAATAAAAAGTAAGATTGTAACCTTTAAGTTTACTTTAAGTGTAAGTGTAGTGTTTGGCTTGGTAAATTTGGAGAGATGTCGCCACATGGCCGCCATCTTGGTTGATACGACCAGTTAATTCTGTCACTAAACTTAACTAAATGTATCCCTAAACCTAACCTGAACACTAAATTTATTCCTGAACCCTAAATGCATCCCTGAACCTAACCTGAACCCTTATTCATTCACTCAATCACTGCAGCAACTAAAACCAAAATAAACATGCAAATGAGTAATGACCTGATGGTGATGGCGACATCTCTCCAAATTAGCCTATTAGTATTAGTGAGGTAATAGTGCGGATTGCGCTGTACCTAACACCTAAAAATTAAATGTTTAACACTGTAGACCCAGGCAGTGTTTGCCAACATCTTTTGTGCCATGCCCCACCTAACTAAGCCATTCTAATATCGAAGTGGCTATGTGGACCCAGGTCCCTTTAGCCAAAATCGCCATCCGGACCCGGCTGGTCATTTGAGGTGTATCTATTCTGGGTAATCTACCACTTGAGCGTCTGCCTAGAAAAAATCCAGTTGTTCCGATTGGAAGGGCTATTTAAACAAGGCAGTGTCTACACGTCCGCGCCGGACGTCTATCTCCCGCACTATGTGTCCGGCGACCAAGTCACATGACCGCCGTAACAAAGTGGCGAGAGATATCTTGTCGGTCAGCCTTGTCACGTGACTGCGAATAATTCAAAACTATTGAATTGTTAATTTTAAAATCTATTTCTCTACCAAGTAATGTACTGAGTATCTTGAATGCAAATAATAGAAAACATTTTTGTTTAGTTTGTTATTTGAGTTTGTGTACCAGTAATCCATAAAATAAATTAGGGGCCAGTGTGGAGTAGGCGTAGGCAACCAATAAAAGTTAAAGTAAAAGATTTCATTTTAAATTAATGCAATTGCTACAAAATATTTAAAAACTTCTCATGAAACTACTGTTGCTGAGGAACATGATAATATAAATATATACAAAATATTTTAATTAAAATGGGAAGAAAAAAAACGACCCTTTCCCCGGTATAGATCCTCAAACCTTCCTATCATCAAGCAACCACTCTACCACAAGACCAGACAAGATGTAATAAACCGTACTTCGTTTGGAATTATAAAAACTACTAGCCGTCCGGCCATGTCCGGCGGTCACGTGACAAGCCGCCGGACGTATATCTTGCGCGCGCCGGACGTGTAGACACTTCGTTTAAACAACTATTCTTACATTGGAGTCTGTTAATATTTTGGGAAGCGTTATACGCCATACGCATTCGGCTGCGCATAACTCTCAGGGTTATACGCAGTCGGCTAGGAATTTAGCCAAATAAGGTTTATCAATCGCTTGTTTGGCAATTTAAAAAAAAGTATTATGCGTAATTAGCTGCATTATGGGTTGTTTTGAGCTATAACTTTAAGTCACACAACCGACTGATCCAAGTATGGAGCTCCAACTAAAGCTCAAACAAATGGAGCTTGAAGCTCAGAGAGAGAAAGAAGAAAAAGATAGAGAGCTAAAAATAAAATTAAAACAAATGGAAATAACGGCCAATTTAGGAGCAATGGAAAATAGACTCACGGCTCCAGCCGGTCAGGGTTGCGATGCAATTAAATTTGCAAAAGTAATCCCTAAATTTTCAGAAAAAGAGGTTGACCAATATTTTGCGCAGTTTGAGATAACTGCCCAAAATTTTAAAATTCCTGAAACTATGTGGTCCACCTTACTTCAACCAGCCTTGACCGGAAGGGCATCCGAAGTCTTTGTGTCCCTGAATGCGGAACAGCGCGGGGACTATAACCTAGTAAAATCATTAATACTTAAGGCTTATGAATGTGTCCCCGAAGCATACCGTAAAAAGTTTAGGGAACTGTGGAAACGTGATGGCCAGACTCATGTCGAGTTCCTCCGGGAAAAGGAACGGCTCCTGGACAAGTGGCTGCACGCAACCAACACTGAGACAGACTTCAAGAAATTCAAGAACCTCATTCTGATGGAGGAATTCAAGAACTGTGTTCGTACTGAGGTGCGAATACATATTGCAGACTGTGGCGAAGGTGACGCACATACGGCAGCAGTGTTAGCCGACGACTTCACCATCACTCGTCGACTTTCCAAGAATCCATTTGACACAAGAAAAGACAGGCACAATAGGACAACAACATCAACTTACAGTAAACCTCCACAAAAACTATTCAAGCCCGGTACGAAAGAAATTGGTGCAAAAGACACATGTGCCTACTGTAAAAAAGGACATACGAGGGGTGATTGCTGGAAACTCAAGAAGAAAACTGAGAAGACCACACATCCTGGTACACAACACAAAGTCTCCGCTTGTACGTCTCGTCATACATCTGGAAACACATTTTCAAAATTCAAGAGTTTTTGCTCTCCAGATGTCCATACAAACTTTAAAGAGGTTTGTCACGACTCATCAAAGAGTTCCATTATGAACAATAAGGCTAGTTTTACTGACTCCAGCCAAGTTCCTGCTTCGACTGCGAGTTTTATGAGCTTGTCGCCAAGATCCTTTTGCTCCAAGAAGAGGTCTACCTCCAGAGGGCGTTTTACTGAGGACTTGTGTGCAAGTTTTGACGACTCTACACAGAGTTTTACTTCCTCTACCCTAGCCGAATGTTCTCAAGACTCCAACAAGAGTTTACCTACCAAGGTCCAAAATTCTACATCAGAAAATACTGATGTCATACAAGACTTCATGCCTTTCATATCGGAAGGATTCGTATCACTGCCAGGTGATTTTTCCAGTCTACAACCAATCAAAATCTTACGAGATACAGGTGCTTCACAGTCCTTGCTACTTGAGGGTATACTTCCCTTGTCTGAATCTACTGCTACTGGGAGCAACATCCTGTTACGAGGTGTAGAGCTGGGATGCATAGATGTACCTTAACATCTCATCAACCTAAAATCTGACTTAGTCTCCGGACCTGTGGTTGTGGGTGTCCGACCAACATTACCATTGGACGGCATCTCGTTTCTGCTAGGCAATGACTTAGCTGGTGGGAAGGTGATAGCTGAGCCCATCGTTACTCATGAACCTTGTTTAAATGAAAATCAAGAAGAAGATCAAGAATTGTATCCAGCATGTGCCGTGACAAGGGCCATGAGTTCCAAGATCTCCACAAAAGAGATTTCACAGGAAAGCAATAACATTCTTCCTGAAATTGACCTGGGAAAAACATTTTTTGCAAGTCTAAATGAAGAGGCTAGTAATTACAAGACTCCAACTCGAATGCAACTTATTGAAGAACAGAAGAGTGACCCAGAAATAGTCAAACTTCGAGAGAACGCTTTGACCCAAGAAGAAGCTGAACAATTCCCGATATGTTATTACCTTCAAGATGACATACTTTTGAGAAAATGGCGACCTCCAGACGCAAATGCTGATGAAGAATGGAGGATAGTTCATCAAATAGTAGTTCCTACCCCATTCCGGAACGAAGTCCTGAACTTAGCCCATGACTCACCACTTTCAGGTCATTTGGGAGTAAAGAAGACATATCACAAAATCACGTCGCACTTCTTTTGGCCCAAAATCAAGAAAGATGTGGTTGAATACTGCAGATCATGTCATACTTGTCAGGTGGTAGGGAAACCAAATCAGAAGATACCAGCAGCTCCTCTTCAACCCATTCCAGCATTCGAAGAACCTTTCAGTCGCGTCATTATAGACTGCGTTGGACCTCTGCCAAAGACAAAATCAGGTCACCAATACTTGCTGACAATCATGTGTGCGTCAACAAGATTCCCAGAAGCTATTCCTCTTCGCAATATCAAGACTCCGAACATCGTCAAAGCCTTGACGAAGTTTTTTACATTGTTTGGTCTTCCGAAGTCTGTACAGTCTGACCAAGGAACCAACTTCAAGGCTGGAATATTCAAACAAGTGATGAACCAGTTGGGCATAGAACACTGCTTGTCGAGTGCATATCATCCTGAGTCACAGGGAGCACTTGAGCGATTCCATCAGACGTTGAAGAACATGATGAGAACCTACTGCCTAGAACAAGAGAAAGACTGGGATGAAGGCATCAACATGCTACTGTTCGCCGCAAGAGAAGCAGTTCAAGAATCACTTGGATTCAGCCCCTTCGAACTGGTGTTTGGCCACACGGTTCGCGGTCCCCTTAAACTTTTAAAAGACACGTGGATGTCATCGGCACCCACGGAAGGACTTCTTGACTATGTCCAAAAATTTAAAACTAAACTTTTTAATGCCGTTAATTTGGCTAAAACACATTTAAAAGATTCACAATCTAAAATGAAAGTTTGGTATGACAAAAAGTCAAAATTCAGACAGTTTGCTTCAGGGGACAAAGTGCTTGTGCTTTTGCCGATACCAGGGCAAGCACTACAAGCTAGATATTTTGGTCCTTATGTTGTTGAGTCCAAAATCAATGATTTAAATTACATTGTGTTAACACCAGATCGTAAAAGAAAGAAACAGTTATGTCACATTAACATGTTAAAAGAATATTTTGATAGAAAATGTGATGATCATTGTCCATCCTCAGAAACAAATGTTAACACAATCTCAACTGTAACTTCAGTACTTAAAGAAAATGTTACTGAAACCTTTGATAGTGTCCCAGAAAAAGTTGGTAATTATAAACTTAAAAATTCAGAAATATTAGCCAACTTAGATAAGAAACTAGGACATTTGTCATTGTCAGAGAAGGATGTTGTTAAGTCTGTTATTGCAGATTTTGTTTTACTCTTCCCTGATGTACCTAATAAAACCAACATTGCTGTACATGATGTTGACATTGGCAATGCAGTTCCGGTCAAGCAACACCCCTATAGGGTCAATCCGGAAAAACTTGAAATAATCCGGTCTGAAATAAAATACATGCTTGAAAATGATATAATTGAACCAAGCTCTAGTAACTGGAGTTCACCATGTATTTTAGTCCCAAAGCCTGACAAAAGTTACAGGTTTTGTACTGACTTCAGGAAAGTGAATGCATTCACAAAGACTGATTCCTTTCCGATTCCAAGGATAGACGATCTTATAGATCGAATAGGTGATGCCAAATATGTAACCAAGATAGACTTACTATCAGGTTATTGGCAGGTTCCTCTATCTGACAGAGCAAAAGAAATCTCTGCTTTTTGTACTCCAGATGGTTTATATCAATATAAAGTAATGCCGTTTGGAATGAAAAATGCCCCAGCTACATTCCAACGTCTTGTAAATAACATTATTGCTGACCAGGAAAATTGCAGCGCCTATATTGATGATGTAATTATTTACAGTCAAGATTTTTCAACTCATGTAAACCAATTAAGATCTCTGTTTAAAAAATTTTTGCAGGCAAATGTAACTGTAAATTTAAATAAATGTGAATTTTGTCATGCAACTGTGGAATATTTAGGTCACATAGTGGGTCAAGGTCATGTAAAGCCTGTTCAAGCTAAGATAAATGCTATTGTATCACTTCCACCACCCACTACTAGAAAACAGTTAATGAGATTTTTGGGAATGGCAGGTTATTATAGAAAATTTTGCAAAAATTTCTCAGTTATTGCTTCTCCTTTAAGTAATATGTTAAAGAAAAATGCAAAATTTCATTGGTCAGATGCTTGTCAGGAAGCATTCGAAAACATTAAAAATATACTTGCTAATGCTCCTGTTCTCATTGCACCAGACTTTAACAAACAGTTTAAATTAGCTGTAGATGCCAGTGATGTTGGCATTGGTGCAGTTCTTTTTCAAGAAGATGACCACAATGTAGATCATCCTGTCTCTTATTTCTCAAACAAATTTAACTCACATCAGAAAAACTATTCCACTGTAGAAAATGAGTGTTTAGGTTTAATTCTTGCTCTCCAACAATTTGATTTTTATGTCAGTTGTTCTTTACATTCAGTACTTGTTTTTACTGATCACAATCCTTTAACATTTTTGAATAAGATGGTCTCCAAAAATCAAAGATTGTTAAGATGGAGCCTATTTTTACAAGAATATAATTTGAACATCAAACATATTAAAGGAAAAGATAATGTCATTGCAGATACTTTGTCCAGAAATTAATTTTCACTTATGTTATTGTTTATAAGCTGTTAAGAAGCTTTTTGTCTAATATTTTGAGAGTAAGAAATGTACTTTCTTCAATTTTAATGGAAAAAGAATTCCATTTTTGAACAATGAAATTTTTTTTCTTTTAAGAGGGGAGGTGTTATAGAGAGCTTGTTTACATAATATTTCTGGTGCGTGCCCTCTGATTGACCCCGCATGAGACGCTGTGTTCACAAAGGGGTGTGGCTTAGGTCTTTGATGTATTTCTTGTTTACGCCGCCAACGAATAAAAATAATTAATCTGTTCCAAACTAGTATTTTGTAGAATGATTTTGATTTTTCTAGAAATTTCTCGAAGGCAGGGCTTGGGCGTCGGTAGACCCACCTATATAAGGGATTGACAGGCACGGACGAGGACGGAGATTTTCTTATAGATTCTCTTAACATTACGAGGCGTGTTTTATTCTTTGTGTATTTGTGTGCTCCTACTTATATGTGTTTATTTCGCATTATTTATTGGCATCATTATTTCTAATTGTATTAACTGTGTACCGGTACGACATCTGCCATACTGTAAGTTGAAGATTGTAATTTTATTTTATTTTATTTTGTAATTATCTTAAGACATAATAAATCTTAATTAATTGTGACTAGAAACTGTTTTGGGTCGTATCCTTAATACTTAATATTGTTGATTATATGGTATCGTCCTTTGTTAGGCACTGTTTACAACGAGCCAATTAAAATTAAAATAGGAGATTAATTTCTCCCAATACAAGTCAGTGCGTAACAAAGGGAAAAATACCAAACAGTTTCTGTCAATTGATAACATTTTATGCAGTTTTTCACAGACACTAAAATGCATTAGAAATTTATTCCATTTGAGTGAAAACAAAAATCTTAAAAATTTCAAATTTTTTGTCCAGTGACTAGGAACATTGCAGAAGGTTGTGATGATAAAGTGCTGGGCACAGTATAGGAAATAAAAAAAAAGAAAGCACTCGGATCTGATAAATGATTTCCTGTGCCTCTTTCCAAAAATTAAATATTTTTATAAATATGTTAAGGAACTTTGAAAACTAAACAAGTGGCCTATATTATACTAATAAATATTGAAGGCTTGAATTTATCAGAGGTAATTTTTATAATACATTATATTGATTATATCATATTTTACAAATACTAGTTCCTCTACCATATTTTCATTCTTAAGCTTTTTGTTACAAAGTTATTGTTCCTTAAACTCTGGTATTTTCCCCATCAGAGGTGTGTCTCTTGTTGTAATTTATCAGGTTTAGGAGTGGGTGATTGAGTATTGATTTTCTGATTGGGGCTGATCATTGAATTGTCTTGAGTGGATGAGGCAGGCTGGTTAGCCTCAGTGAGTCTGATTGGCCAGGCGAGCTAGTCTCGATATAATATTATGGTCTGGTGACTGCCATCTAGTTTCACATGATCTTTGCTCTCACATTCACTGGTGATTTTCTATTTGAGGTCAGACATATTATTATGTATGATATATGATCTTTCCTTCTATATTTACTAATGCTTCCGTGGTGAATTTATGATCTATTTGTTGCTACATTTAATAGTATTTATAATGTTTAAAGTCATGTAAGTCATATAGGAACGAATGATGAGATGCATTTAACAAAAATTCAAATATCAGTAAGACTTGGAACTGATATTTATCAGAAGCAAAATAATTAATTAAGATTATAGCTTTATTATGAAAGACTTAAACTTAAAAGTTTTGTGTATTAATAGCATTTTTAGATCCTTTTATTTACTCTTGAAGTGCCAAAAAAAAAGTACAATAAATAACTATTTTAGTCTTAAGAGTACATGATTAATCACCTTTGTGCTCATCTAATGTTTAAAAGTTGTACTCTTGTCTGAAATTCAATGCAATCCTTTATTCTCCACCACAGCCTTGTGAAACAAGAAAGTTACCAGTGCCAAAAGTGTCTCCAGAAAGGACATTTCACCTATCAGTGTACGGGCAAGAGGAAATATGTGGAGCGGGACTCAAGGACAAGGCTTCTAAACAAACGCATTAAGATGGAGGATGAGAAGGCAAAGTTGGAAATGTTGTAAGCTGTGTTAGAGTGAACATAAGTTTAGGATTTTCAATTTCCTTGTCTATACTGTGTGGTTCCATAATAAAGACAATCTAATGCATTGTATTGAATTTATGAAAAAATTGAGATTGATTATTTCATTTTTTGGGGTAAGTGAGATTTTTTAGAAAATTTCAATCCATTTCTTGGGACAAAAAAATAAATGATCTAGCATTCTCATGAGAATCAGTACTCTAATAATAATATTACATTGTCGTCTGCTGCTTGTATAAATTGGGATCATTTTAATGCACAGAAAGGTCTTGTTTGTTGACAAGTAGTCTTATTTGTTCAAAACAGTGAAGGTTTGGCGTGGTAAATGACATCCCTGTTATTATTCAATATTATCAGATGTCTGTCCAGACAAAAGAAAGTGAAGTCATAAAGTCATTTAAAGTGTACAGTTTTTTTGAAGGTGCAATGGCCAGCATATTTTCTTGCACTAATAAAAAGCTAAATCTTTTTAAATCAAAAGATATCCATGTAAAAAGAATCTAAGACAGTTTCAAGTTGACCAGGTTATTAATTTGTTTTAATCCTATTTCTTAATGTATGTACTTATTTCCTACCTTAAACGCATCAAATCAGATAAAACTCCATTGTGCAGACATGAGACAATAAATCTCCTTTTACACCTCCCTGCACATCAGGATTTACACCTAAACCATCTACCAAAAATACCAGACCACACCAACACCCTCTACATGACAAGTTGCAGAGAGTGTGCTACTTCTTCACATGCCCAAATGGTGCTGGATGTGAATGATGATTATATTGATGATGTATTTATGTATATTTAGATTGTATCAGATATATGATTTTTCAATTATTTTTTTCCAGAGCTAAGTCCACAACAGTTACACAGAAAAAGCATACAAAAGATAAAAAGAAGCGGAAGAAAAGGTTAGCCATGTTATTTGTGAATTATTGTATATTTGACCTCAATCAGATCATCTTGTAACGCAGGCGGAGTTTCAAAAACAATTTTTGGTGCAAATATTTCATTTTACTTTTTTTATTTTCATCTTCTTGCTGTTTCCTTGTATGATATCTTCAATTAAGTCTGATAACATCACTTGCTCTAAATAATTTGTAAAAGGAAGGACTTTTTCTTATGTCAAATATAGTTTATTGCTTATTTTATCAAGTTCTGCAGAATTTTTTTTTTTTCCAAAGCTAACCTCTAGCATTTTTCATCTAATCCTCAGCTCGGATGGAGATTCAAGTTCAACTTCTAGTAGTTCAGATTCTAGTGAGGACAGCTCAAGTGACAGCTCAGATGACTCCAGCTCAGATTCAGATGATTCTTCATCATCATCAGAATCATCCTCATCATCTGCTACTTCTTCATCAGACTCCTCATCAGACTCTGAACCAGGTGAGGGAGAAGTCAATGAAAAAAAGATCACTTCTGGTAGGAAAAAGAAAAAATGATAAAAATGGTTTTGGAGGTATTGGCTCTTGGAGAGAAATTTATAATTCTATGAAATAACAGGAATTCTTGAAATCAGATTAGTAAAATGTTATCATTAAATTTGGTGAATTATTAAATTTCACAAAGGAAACAAAGTATGAGATCATAATCCATGTGGGTTCTGCTTTGGCTATTGTTTGAAAAATGTTGGAAAGTTGTGGTTGGACATAATAGTGATTTCAATGTGAAAGTACAAGGTATCTTGAATTATAGAGACATAATGTAGTTGGACTAGATGCTAGATAAATTGAAAGAGTACTTATAATGTAGTGAAAGAATTAGTTCCAAGCAAATTTTTAAATATTTTTAAGTCTAATTGTTTTATTTAAATTTAATTAAAAGCTGTAGAGTAGGTTTTTAAATATTTAAGCTATGTCAAAGAATTGGTAATTTATGTTTGCATATTTTAAATTATTAAAAAAAACTATTTTCTTATAATTTGAAATTCTTTGCACCGATAAATTTCAAATTTATAATATTTTTGAAATTAACAGCAATTTTTTTAAAGGAAATAGTTTAATTCTAAAATACTGATTGTTTAATACAAAAGATAAAAAAATACTGAGTTATAATATTTCATTTAAAATTTGACTTTTTAATTCATTTTTTTATATTTTTTAAGCCTAAGCCATTTTTGTTATTAAAAAATTCCAGACTTGCAGTGCTTTAGGTTATCTGCCAGATGGACCATATTTTTTAAAACAAAGTCTTCTAATGCCAATGCCAAAAATGTAAAATTTGATTGTTGCAATCTTGACTGCTGTTGTGGATGTGTTTATGATTATGTCACTTATGTTTTACAAGATGACTTGTTAAATGTCACATGTGTAACGTAATGCACATCTCAGATGTCTATTTTAAATTCAGACAGTTTAAGAGACTTATCATTCATTAACTCATTCCTAATGGCAGTGGAACTTCCATTCTTAATTTATATTCCTGAGAAAGGGAAGTAACTCCATGTTGCAATTGATGTACATAATTTGTAGAATGGCAAACAAATAACGAGCAATGACCAAAAAATCAATTTTGGGTCCTTATATAAACATGGTAGACACAGATGTACTTGACTACATAGATGTACTTGACTACATAGATGTACTTGACTACAAAGATGTACTTGACTACATAGATGTACTTGACTACACAGATGTACTTGACAACACAGATGTACTTGACTACACAGATGTACTTGACTACATAGATGTACTTGACAACTACATAGATGGAAAGTAAAACAAGACAAAAAGCTTCCTGTTTTTAAATTGACTTATACAGAATCACACCGTCTCGGGAAGTCTTGAGGGATGTGAGATTTCATTGCTATTTTTAATGATAGAGGTGTGTCACTATATGCCGGGATGCCTTTGGATGCATCTGTTGGAACCCAACTGACGCAATTAGCTGCAACCATCTGCAATGAATTTGTTTCATCCAGGTCTGTTAAATTCTTCAATTCATAAATTAATTTTATTGATCTTTTTTAAAAAAAAAAAAAAAAATCTTCTTTGTACTGTATATTTATGATCCAGATTTATTTTAAAACACATCAGTTTCAGATAGCTTTAATCATACCTAAGTATTCTTTTTAAGACTATTGTTCCAAGCTTGGAAGTTTTATCAAATGCTCAGATCAGAGTTGATAGGTTTTCGGCAAATTTATACAAACAAAATTTTTAAAAAGGCCTGCTCTCCCCTGGTCTAGACACTGATTTTCAAAGAATTCCCAATAGGAACACAGTACACCATGTACAAAGTGGTGATCAAATCTCTCTCTATATATTTCACATTGGGGTGTAAACTTGATCATCCTGTTTTGAGGTGTTAGCTTTTAGCATCATGATGTACCATTAAAACTGTTTTGTTCATGGATTATTGAATTATTAATTTAAACTATTTAATTATTCCTGATCTCTAGATATATTCCTGATACACACGCTATTCCTGATCCTGTTTAGATGCTATGTTATGGTAACTTTGACAGGGTCATTCTTTTTTTGTACTTGGCTCATCTCCATTTGCTTCAATTTCTGCCATTTTATGATTTTTTTTCAGTTACCCAACTATTGGTGTACTTATTTATTTTATTTCGTCTAATTTCTTAACCTTAATTTCCCTGTAAACAAAAAGTAATAAGCATTATTGATTCATCATTAATAAAATATTTAATTTAAAAGCATTGTCATTTTTAATGTGAGATGAATGCATGATGTAGTATTACTAGTAAAGACTAAGGTACAGGTGGTATGCCTTATTTATATTAAAAATGATGAGCAAACATAAGCTGTAACAGGATCCTTTCTATTAAGACAAGCAGTTTCTTTGAACACCATTAATTGGCACTTTTTTAAAGTTCATCAATTATTTATTATTCATTTTTTTAAAGTAAAATTTTATTTTACACATCCAGTATTCTTTTCTCTTGAGGAATTAAAAAAAAAAAAATGTTTAGTTGCTCTTTCATTTCTACCAAAACTCACCTAAACTTGTGACCTATTTCTTAAATAATCTGGGACCCTAAGGCTTCTACTTCCTACATTAACTAATGGCATATTTCGTATAATAGTTGGGGCCCTACTTATCATTTTCGTTGAACTCCTACTTCTCATGTTTGTTGGGGCACTACTTCACACAGTAGCTGGAGCCTTGCTACAGACCTTAGCCATCATTGACGAGTTGATGATATACACGAGTTTAGATTTAACTTTGATGGCTAATAAGATATTTAAAAAGCGACCAGAAAGTAGCCCAACCTTTGCCTCTCCAGATCTTCGCCACCCCCTCTCTCCTAATTTTCTTTTTTAAATTAATGCATCACTGACGCTCCGTGGGGGAGTGGTCGAGCGATTTTCTGTTTGCTGTAATTCGGCTCGGTCACATGTGTCAAACTCAAGGCCCGCGGGCCACATCTGGCCCGCTGAACAATTATATCAGGCCAGTGAGGTCTTCACTGGTGTACATTTATATCCAAGTCAACGCTATGGTGTTTCCAAATGCACACTTTGATGAAAAACTCAGCTTACTTCGCGTCGAGTTCGCACGGCGCTTTAGTGATTTTGAAGTACAGAAATGTAATTTCGAGCCGTTTCGTTACCCATTTGTCATAGATGTTTAAACTGCACCTGTAAATTTGCAGATGGAGCTAATAGAGCTGCAGTGTAATAGGACACTAAAGGCAAAGTACGACACAGTTGGGCCTGCACAGTTCAGTTGTCTCATTCCTGAAGAGCTGCCCCAGCTTCGTCTACATGCGGCTCGAACCTTGAGCATGTTGGGTAGCGCATATTTGTGTGAACAGCTGTTTTCTGTGATGAAGATTAACAAAACATCACACAGGAGTCGTCTCACTGATGGAACACATCCAGTCCATCATGAGAATCTCATTGACACAGAACGTCACTCCTAACATAAACGAACTTAATTGTTTTTATAGCCAAGCAAATGTGCCAAACATCGAGCTCTACCAAACTGGCATAACAACGAAAATGGGGATGTCAATGGTTTTTAATTATTAAAACATTTTTGTTTGTTTTCATTTATAGAAATGTTTTTTTTTAAAAAGATTAGTTTTCCTATTATTGAATGTTTATCCTGTTCGGCCCGCAACCTTACATGTGATTTGAGTGTTGGCCCGGCGAGCGATTGAGTTGGACATCCCTGGGCTAGGTGATGCCAGCGGTCAGCGAGGAGGTCCAGAGTTCAAATAATGGGATCAATCCACTTGAGACATCTAATTTCCCGTGCAGTAGCCCAACTCAAGAAAATCTTAGGTGCAAGAAATTCTTAGATGATTTTTAAAATTATAGATTTGAACTTTTGTAGATTAAAATAAGCAACCTCTCTTGATTAATTGTTTATTTAAAAAAATAAAAATTGGAAATTGAAACGAAAAAAAAATTTTTTTAATTGAGATGTCGTTTATAAAGAACAACAATCTTTTATATGGGGTCGTCTAGTGCTTTGCATAAAATGGTCCCAATATTTTGGGATTCCAGAAGTATAATTTTTACACGAGCATTGGTTAGAGACTTCAACAATATAGACTATAATAGAGTAGTTGATTCCAACTGACTGCGGCATAGTGGTGGCTCTGGCATCAGTGACGTAGTTAGTATTAGTGCCGTCCGGGGCGTACCACTACCCCTTTATCTATATTAGATGCTATGATTTATAGGACATTTTGATTGAGCTCATTTCCCCACTGAATGCCGCTGCCACCCGATTCTTGATCTTGGGTCCATATGCTCTCGTACTTTTGAAGATTGAGCGCCACCACCACCCCTTCTTTCCCTCCTCCCCAAATAAAAAATGCTGTTAAAAGGACCCTGTTCCACTCTCTCATACCTCATCCTACATCCCTCCCCCCTTTGACTTCAAAAACTCCTGATTCCTATTTGATCTTCACCACATGACGTAACACAAGACATGCGCCAAAGGGTCACCCGTGGTTTGCGGGACATGCGTGGCTGTAATCGATATCAAGAAATTACCGTGGCCCACCCAGATAATACTTTTTTTTTTTTTAAACTTAAAATGCCGCCAACATGATTGCTGTCACTTTTGATTTAAGTTCATGGCAAATAAATATGGCATTTACCAAACATGTGTTCAATTTTTTTTTTTTTTTTTTTGTTTTGAAAAAAGTTAGGGTTAATTTTTATTTGATAAAATGCCGCCAACATGATTGCTGTCATTTTTGATTTAAGTTCATGGCAAATAAATATGGCATTTACCAAACATGTGTTCAATTTTTTTTTTTTTTTTTGCTTCGAAAAAAGATAAGGTTAATTTTCATTTGCTGATCGTGAGGGGTGTGTGTGGAAGGAATGTGTTTTGAAATCGAGAAGTGGGTGCGTGAAAATGTTTTCATATCAAGAGGGGGTGCTGTGATTCTGACAGTGACAGTTTAAGAACCCCTGTCTTAATTCCAGAACAGAAGAGGTGATCTAATTCTACACCAAGCAGGGTTGCCAACTCAATAAAATAACGTTAACTGACAAATATAAGAACTCTCAACAAAATTTACGGACAAAAACAATTTTTTACGGACACATTTAACATAAAATGTTGACCTTAAAACGATCTGTCGAAACAAGTCCATTTTGCCGCGATGCTTCTCGCCGCGCGAGCCTAGGTGTCCAGAAGCTCTTACAGTTAGACTAAAACAATTTGAAAATTAAAATTTAAATATAGAAACTAGAGATCACAAACATGATTTACTGGGGTTTTTGAACGTTGAGATTCCACGATTTGTCGATTATTTTTTACGGACGTCTCAATTTTTTAACGGAATTTTATGAACAGGCAATTTTACGACAAATCTTTACGGACTGTCCGTAAATTTACGGACGGTTGACACCAAGGCCTTTAGTGATTTCGCGCTTATTCGTTGCTTCAGTGAGGTCAGTGTAGAGTTTCTCACGGTCATGGCAAAGAAAAGTTGCGCCCCGGGCTAATCTGAAGCTAGCCTAGATTCCCAAATATCCATGTAATTTTTTCTGACTGTAAAATAAAAAGTATTTTATACTATTATAAATTGCGTCAGAGATTTCAGGTTCGACAATTTTTAAATCATTTATATTAACTTTGCTTTTGTTCGGTGCTGGCAAAATCTTCGGACGGCAAATTGACCCACTTCCCGTCAACTTATCAAGGACGTAGACTCGTTGCCGATGACAACACATTCTATCAAATTTTCAGCCCCCTCCAACACCGTTATTCAGTTTTTCCTGTTTTTCAAGTGGAAAATGAAGGAAATATGATGACACTGAAGAAGCTTAATGAGATTCTTTAAATATATATATATATATCAACTGCGTTTGATGCGTAATATTTTTTACAGTTGGTAAAAGTAATCTGCGGTGTAAAAGCGGGTTGGTCATTAAAAAATTTATATATTTCAGGGGCGGGAAAAAAATGTGCTAGGGGAATTATCTAAATAAGCAACCCCTCTTAATTAATTGTTTATTTTTAAAAATAAGAATTGGAAATTTAAACGAATAAATATAAAATAATAATCGAGATGTCATTTATAAAGAAGCTATAAGTGGGATTCTTATAAAGTTCGTAACTTGTAAGCATTTGTGTCCAATATTCAGCCTCCATTGCTCATTGTTACATTTTCTAAATTCTAAAGGATTTATTCGAACAACATTGTTTTAAAAGGTTGTTTAATTGTGAGTGCGCTCATGCTATTCCTTCAACAATAATTGTTTGAAATCAACCTTAAAAAAAGCCCACTCAAATGAAACCCGGACTAGTTTTTCTACCTATCATATGAAACGAGTTAACAAACACAGGTGTAGGTCTATGGATAAATGTCCTACTGTAAATAAATATTGTTTCTTAATAAAAAAAATGTGAAACGTTGGATTTTAATGTATAAAGTAAATAAACATGCTGGTTGGTGGTGTCGTCTAAGGTTAGACATAAGGATGACACCACTCACCTCCCCTCCCATAAGGATGACACCACTCACCCCCCTC